GTGTTGCACCAGGCTGCAAGTGAAGTCGTTGTGCCGCGGAGAGTCGCATGCGGTGCACCGGCACAACAGCCATATCTGACTCATGCAGTTCAGTGGTGGGAACGTTGAGTTAGAAACGGTGAGTGCTCGTGGTAAGTTCCCTAGTTTGCTGCGGACACTGCCCCGGTCAGCGGCGTCTCGACATCCTTCTACGCGCAGGTGGCGGTGCCAGCAGGCGGGAGCGTGTCCCCCTGCAGGTGCAGCTGTTGAACAGCCGTGGGATAAGTCTGTGGTCCGATGTGCTGTAGAACGGACATCCAGGCCCAGCACTAGTGGATTCATACTCAGCAGTCGGCATGACAGTTTGTAGTGTGTGTCAACCACAGTACTTAGGGCCACGCGATGCGCAATAAACATCCTGTTACGACCACGAGAATATCAGCCACAGGACTGGAAGAGAAAAACGGAGCTTTGCAACAACACAGTGACGGTCATGTTGCTGCTGGCAAATCATGTTGGCACAGCTGACATATTGACATATTGCTTAACCCCCAGAAAGCGACTGCAGCCGACCACACCCTCCAGTCCTTCAGTATCGGCGGAGACATGCGAACGTCCAAGGGCTGAGAGATGAGACAGAATGTGAGTCCAACATGACCTACGGCATCAAGAACACCAATCATGGCAAGATAGCAGGTTTTGCAACAACATTAATGGCAACAGTGGCTTCTTACAACAGAACTAATCATGGCAGCAATGCCATGAGCTCAAAGGTGCCACGATCCCAGCTCTGCACTCGTTCAAGGACTGTTTGTGTTCGCTGCCTCTTGCACCGGCAGGCCTCTGGGTTTCTGCGAGGTGCGGCAAGTGCTGCCCTGAGCGTATTTCAGGGTAGTTCAGGTCTGGTTGGGGTTTGGATATTGTAAGATCACAGGGGCAGATGATCCTAAAGTCTCGTTGCACACAGTGAGAAGAGCTGACAGACAGAATCAACAAGATTTGCTGTACATTGTGTGTACATATATGCACCATATGCATATATATATATATGTATGTATGTATGTATGTATGTATGTATGTATGTATGTATGTATGTATGTAATGTATGTATTTATGTATG